CTTGAAGGTGGTGGCCAGTTCTGCAGTTTTTGTTGGCACAATCTTTGGGCATGAAGGGTGGCATCAGCAGGCTGTCAACTTTGACAATGCTGGAGTGACCAGGGACCTGGAAGACCTTTTCAGAAGTCATGCTGGTGCTGTGGCCTCTTGGTCCAAACTCATGGGCACAGAATTTTGTGGCATCAAGATCTCTTCACCACTTTCCCACACCAACTTGTGGGATATGGTGGTGTTCTTGCTTTGGGCCAAGACCAACCCTACTGTTAAACATGTATGGCATCATGCAGGAAGGTTTCTTTGGCCCCATGTCTTGCTTGTTTGTGGACAATTGCTAGACAGAGCAGCTGTACTGTCACTTCAAAAGCCAATTGAGGCAGTGCCCCTAATGAAGACTAGAGCAGGTCACCACAAAAGAACACCCTTTGTAAACAAGTGGGTACTCCTGCAGAAAATGAAAGAGTCCAAAAAACATAGAAAACATTCCATGCAAACCCACAAGGACATTGTTCCAGCAGGCAGCCACCTTGTGACACATGAACAAATGATGGAAGTTGGCTTGTACATGAAGAATGCCAGAAAAGCATTTGCAAATGCATGTCACCTGGCTATCTCTTGGGACCCCTCCACATATGATGTTGAAACATTAGTGTCCTGCCTGTGGTCACCCCAAGTGAAAAAAGCTGTTTTTCCTCCCATTCAGAACCTGACCCCTTTGGTCAGTTCTGAACTTGCAGAGGAACTCAAGGAACTTGCAGCTGTGAACAGGCTGACAAGGATTGACAGCTATAATGAACTCAAGGCCCTTTCACATGCCCTTGCAGCTTTTGGTTGGCCACTTGAGAAATTCATGCTAGGTGCAGACTTGCATTGGAGACCACTGTCAAGCAGCCAGTCCAGAGTCAGAATCCAAGGCCAAATTTATATAAAGGATGAAGAGAGTAACACACTCCTCCTGCAAATCCCCTGTGCTTTTGACATCAACAAAACACCACTCCTAGTGAGCTTGAGTGATCAAGGCAGCCTGAATAGGGCAGGGTTGGACTACATTGTCTATAAATTGGGTTTGCCAGTGCTTGTTGAATTTGATGAGCACCACAGGTGTTGGAACGACCTTCGTGATGCCTTGAGGAAGACCCACACCTTGTACAAGACTTTTCTAAGTTTTGCACTTTTGTTTAACATAAATTATGGCCCAAGTGGCAGCAAGGCTTGGATGGAAAAGAAGAAAGCAAAAAGGCAGGAATTCTTAGATCAAAAGTCTTCAGAAAGTAATCCCTTCCTCCACTACCTCCCATACATTCAAAGGGAGAGAGGCCTGGCAGAACCTACAGATGCCCAAGGTAGATTTGAAGTATTCAGTACAATCTCTAAGCTGAATAACTTTAATGCCTTAGGCCCAGTAGCTAAGCTCATGCGCTGGTTCTCCTGGTATGAGGCAGAGAAATACTTCAGGGGTGAAGTCTACATGACAAAGATGCTCATGATGGAGACTCTTCTCCCAGAAGAAGGGGTTGGGTTTGTCAAGGAAGCTAGTGAGAGCCAAGTCCACATCCCCACTGACTTGGGCCCAAAAGAAGAATTGCGCAAGCTTAAAATGCAACATGGCTGTTTTGCACTAGCACCCATGTTAGTAACCCCTGCTTCCATGCACCAGAAGGACTTAATAGCCACATTGTCTGCACCATTGTGGCTGCACTTTTCCAAAAAAGCCAAGTATGTGCGACTCGTAAGAAAGCCCGGACAGATGATGGTGATGTGGACCTCAATCTCAACAGCTTTGACTTCAGCAAGTCCACACCTCTCCCGTCCGGATGGCACTATGATGAGAAGACCCACGAGTTCACCCTCGGCAAGACCGCAGACTGGTGGAGCTATGAGGACGGCTTTTTGGTCAGAAACCATGTTTGGGGAAGAAAGTCAACCTACAAGCCGGAGACCTTTCCCATTGACCCCTCCTACTTACAAACAACCACCGGCCTGACACTTCAGCAAGGTTCACGGACCATCTATGTCAACTCCAAGGAGCAGCAGCACTTCAGCGAAGCTTGGACAGGCAAGACCTGGTACCCCCTCACCGTCAGTGGTGCAGAGAAGACTGGTCTCTACTATATCGGCGACCTCTCCGACAAGCTCAGCCGCTGCAAGACGCTCAGAGGCCGTGGACACACTTGGCAAGCAGTCGGTGTCGCTAGCCCCAAGAAGAAGAACGTCAAGGAGAGCGCAGACCTCAATGAGAAGAAAATGTCCCTGGAAGACCGTTTGGCCTTCTTGGAGGGCAAGAAGAATGAGCTCTCCAGCATCTTCGAGAACGGAGTCTGGGAGATCGAACTCGATCCACAGTCTGTTGACCACAACAGGGTCATGCGCGCTCGCTTCGTTCTCAAGTGGGCAGCTGATGGGAAAGGTGGCCTCAAGGCCAAGGCAAGACTGGTTCTTCAGGGATTTGCTGATCCCGACCTGCTGCAAGGTCAACTCGACACTTCATCACCCACTTTGTCAAGGAGCTCTCGCCAGGTGATCATCGCCATCTCCGAGGTGCTTTCCTGGGAGCGCTGGACTGCCGACGTTGCAACGGCATTCCTTCAGGGTGATCCTCAGCAGAGGATCTTGTGGGCCCGGACCCCCAAGGACGCTTGCGAGTTGATCGGCGTTCCTCCGGGCACCCTCATGCGCTTGATCAAGCCCCTCTACGGACAGGCTGATGCTCCAAGGCAGTGGTTTGCAGTGGCGAGACGCCGTTTACTGCAGTTGGGATTCCAATCCCATCCTCTGGATCAGTGCCTCTACATGTTCTTCGATGAGAACAAGGCCTTGACAGCTATGGTTGGCATCCACGTTGATGATCTATTTGGCTGTGGCTTAGCTTCATCGCCAACGTACCAGCAGCTCACCGACAGCCTCAAGACCTCCTTCAACTTCAAGCACTGGACCAAGGAAGGAGAACGACCTCTAGAGTTCTGCGGCTGTCAGCTGGCACGAACAGCCACCGAGTCAGTCATGACGCAGGCAGACTACCTCAAAGGCATCAAGCCCATGACCTGCGCCGACAATGATCCTGAGCGAGATCTCAACTCTCGCGAGCAGAGCTCACTTCGAGCGCTACTTGGAGCACTTCAATGGCCGGCAACTCAGACCTCACCACACCTATGCGCCTCAGTGTCGCTTCTATGTGGAGAAGTCACTACATCCACGGTTGGTGTTTGCAGCAAGCAAACAAGACCCTCCGCTTCGCCAAGAACAACAACGACGCTGGTCTGATCTTCAGATCATTGGGAGGTTCGCTGGACAACCTGTGCATGGTGGCGATGAGTGATGCCGCCTGGGGTGTGAGGAGAAACAATGAGAGCCAAGGAGGCTATACTTGGTCCTTCTTTGCAATAAGGCCGTGCTCGATGACACCTCCGACCACGACTATATCGTCCTGGATTGGAGGAGCTTCAAACTGCCAAGGGTCAGCAGATCCTCGCTGAATGCTGAGAGTCAAGCTTGCTCAGCAGCCATGGACGCCCTGGAGTACCTCCTCATCTTCTGGGAAGGATGCTTGAAGCACGACTTCCAGCTTCGACAGGTCAACGAGCTGAAGCCCTCTCTCTCCTCAGCTCTGGTGGTAGACGCCAAAGCCCTCTACGACGCCTCAAAGCCGAGACACCCAGTCTCCAAGGAGACAAGCGGACGAAGATCGAGGTCATGGTCACAAAGCAAAAGATGCTTTCCATGGACACGAAGCTGCGCTGGGTTAGCTCAGAGATCCAGCTAGCTGATGGAGTCACCAAATCCTCAGCAAGGCAGCTGTTCGCCGACCGTTTGAGGAGTCACCAAATCTCCCTTCGGTCAGACATGACCTTCCAGGCCGCCAAGAAGAAGACTCTGGCTGAACGGCAGGCCAATGCTCGCAAACATGCGATCAGTCGATCAGGGAATCGACATAGCCTGGCCTACATGATCCTCACCTCGCAGATGATGATGGTGCAAGCCATGCAGCCTAGCTTCGAGATGGCCCTGGACTTCGCTTTCTCTCCTGAGATGACCCTCACTCTCTTCATCCTACTGATGACCATGGTGGGATGGCACATGTGGGGAAGGGCTACAACGACGACTCCGACGACATTGAGGACAATGACAACGACAGAGACCTGGACGATGACGACAGAGAGTCCAAGTTCTAGCACAAAGGAATGTGGCACCCAGGCGGAGACAGCTCTCGAAAAGAATGTGTTTGGCCTCCTCAAGATGGAGATCACACGACTTCAACAAGACCTACGAGATTCAGATGCCTACAACGCCCAGCTCAAAGACCAGCTCGACGCGCTGGAGGGCGAGAACAACGAATTGGAGAAGGAAGTGGACGACCTCACCCTGATGCGGGACTACCTGTCCGGTGACATCGGGGAGCTCGACGGCAAATACAAAGATGTGAGAATCAAATGGCAGACTGCCTATGACAAGCTGGAAGCCATCAAGTACGAGCTTGATCGCAACCCAGTGCCAAGGTCAGTGTGGACTACAAGAACAGGCAGCAAGTACCACATCTACCCGGACTGCCAAGGCCTTTCTGGGGCCGATGCTGGCACGATGAGGCAGTATGACTACTGCGCCTTCTGCGCCCAGCAGGAGATGATGAAGTGGCGAGAGTTCTGACGAGCTTCTTGGCCACAACCACCGGTGTGATTTGGGTGCCACCCAAAAGGACATGAGCGGTTTCCAACCTTGCCGCCCGCCGCTCTCACGGTTCAACTTGGCCCATGAGGGGCCCCTTGAGCATTCACGCTTGCTACGCAAAAGAGTCGCATGCAGCTTTCACGTTCCACGTTGACACTTCGAGCGGTCACACGTGATAGGTATTCACTCCATACCTTTACAATACGTATAGTTAGTTACCGTCATGATATGCAATGAGAGACGCACGACCTGCAAGTCGATGCATTATTCGTGCAAGCCTTTTGGTGGAGTAGTGAGTTTGGCTGCTTGTTTCATTTTGTTTAGTTCATATGAGAGCCAAGGCAAAGGCACCTTCAATGCCAGGAGAGTTGTATCGCGTGCGGGGTCTGAGATCGTTTCGTTTGAGTTCGGTGCAACAGCAGCTAATGGGCTTTTTGAGGTTCCGATTACTATGGACGAACAGCGATATGATCCCTCAGATATGAAGATTGTATACGTTTAAAATCGCACTGCGGTTCGCTGCCGTGCGGCCACTCAAGAACCGTTCGCTGTATACGTTTAAAAGAAACAAACACAACCGTCGCAACCGTGCGTCCCTGCGAACGGACGCACGTTTCAGCCGAAAGAAAGGGAACAACCGCACGTTTCATCCAGAGACGAGACGTTTCACGTGGACCGGTGCCGTGGCTGTTCTTTTTTGCGGGAGGATTACGCAGAAAAAGATCTCGTACCTGAGGCAACTGCATTGAAATCCACCTGAGTCAACAGCAGGGCCAAACTGCCTGCTGAGGCGCGAGACGGAGACACTGGATGTCCCAGAGGAGCTGGTCATGGGGAGGCAAGGCAGAGAGTTCGGATTGGGTTCAGGTGCCAACGAAATTCGACTGGGGTGGACATGGTTTGTATCAGTTTGTGAAGCTTAGAATGGTGCGTTTTGGGAACGATAAGGCGGAAGTTATAGACCCTGAGACAACTACCGGACCTGGGTCCGGTACCTTTTTTGGATACTGCAGCTTTGGGACATGTATCAGGTGCCACCATGTTTTCTTCATTTGCATATGGCCCAAACCAGGGGGCCCCCCTTTTGATCCACGGATCGTTCGGCTGGAACCCAGCCATGGTGGCTACACAGGCCTAGGAGGCCTTTCGACGGCACTTGAGAAAAGGTGCTCCGGATCATTGCGATCCTTGGTTGGGTGGGCTCGCTTCGTGTTCGCTACCACCACCTACCTTGTTAGCCCGCTACGCTACCAGTGCAGCTACCTCCGCTGCATTGGTAGCGGAGCAATCCGCTCCAGGGACCTGACTTTGCTTTCCTATAGTTGAGAACATCTTCAAGGGATTCGATCTCCTCGGAAAGCTAGCTTTTGGTTTTTCTCCCACCTCAGTGCACGAGACATAGTGTTCCTCGATTACCTGATTTTGGTGGGACTTCATTTGTTTTGCACTTCCAGGTGATAGAACCTGGACCCTTGACCTTGCACCATGGCTGACAAAGACAGCGGACATGTCCCCACGTGGAATGGGGAAGCTCGGACCTGGAGGCGCTTCACTCGAGAGATCGGGTGGTACATCAGGGCCACTCCACAGCACAAGCGACGCTACTGTGCCACGAAGATCATCAGTCGCCTCACCGGTCCAGCCAGGCTCCTGGCTATGTCATGGGCCAATGTGGACTTTGACAGCGCTGGCGGCACGAAGAAGCTGCTTCGTCTTCTGGCCGCGAGCCCCTTGGTACGTCAAGCCCTTCCGAATGCGGCTGCGATTTGCAGTCAATACTTCTCGTTCAAACGCCATCAGGGAGAAGCCATGAATTCCTTCCTGGTGAGAGAAGCTTTGGGCTATTCCGAGTTCGTTGAGGCCATTTCAAGGCTCCACGAGGACAAGCTTGGCATCAAGCAGGAGGAGAAAGACTTCGGCTTGCCGGATGATGCTGAAGAATGGGATGAATGGGATGAGTGGTGGCCTGACTCTGAAGAGCCACCGCCTGACGATGAAGAAGATTCCAAGGATGATCAAGATCCCAAGACAAAGCCTTCAGCATCGACGACATCAGCTGCCGCTGGTCTGCAAGACATGGGTGGCTCGCCTAGTCACCATGGTTCAGCGGGAACTCCAGCAGTGGAGAGGACCTCGCCTGCTCAAGCCAAGCCTCTCGACGAACTTTCATTAGCGGATTCCTTTGTACTTGGAGTGTTGAGGGGGTTCAGACTTCTTCAAGCAGCTGGTTTGAACCCTGATGAAAAACGTGACATCATTTCAACCACCAAAGGTTCCTTGGAGTTTGAAACTGTCACCCAAGCACTTCAGACCCTTTGGGATGATCAGTTGTTGGGGGGTAGAAATGGTTCATTTGGCCAACAAGCGATGTTTCAAGAGCTCTATGCCTCCCAAGCTGCCGATGATTGGTGGGAGGATGATGAAAGCTGGAATTGGCATGCCTATGTAGGCACAGACGATTGGAGCTCTTGGGACTATGACCTTGACGAGAACTATGGCTTCCATGCCTATGAGGAATCCTGGAATGAAGAGCCTGTTCATGAACTGCAGGCTCAAACCCAGACTGACTCAGGTGAAACAGAAGCTGACACCTCAAAGACAGCTGATGGCATGGCTTTGGAACAGCGCACATGGACCGAGGCCCAACGTGCTCAAGCTGCTCTTCGGAAAGATCGTGGCTTTGGTCATGTCACTGGCAAGGGACAGCCTCGTCCCGCTTGCTTCAAGTGTGGTTCAACTCAGCACCTGGCACGAGACTGTCCAGATCGCATGCATCCCCAGTTCCACAAAGGTAAATCCAAGGGCTACAGCTCCTTCTACACGGACTACTCCCCAGTGTATGACACGTACATGATCGGTAAGGGCAAGGGCAAAACCAAGTCAAAGTCACCTTCACGACCTGCACACCTACATGCCATGTGGAAAGGAAAGGGCAAGAGCAAGACCAAAGCTCTTGGCCGACCTGCTGTGAATGCCTATGCCATGGAGCCCTTCTACATGAACGGGCTTGAGATTCATGAGAGTCTCACGACTGAGCATTTGAATACGGCCTCATCCGCCAATGTTTCTCCTGGCGAGGCCTTGATTGATAGCGGTGCTACTGCCTCGGCAGGCCCTGAAGAATCAGTCAAGGGACTGATCCAGGCATTGCTGAGCTTTGATCCTGGAGCCTCCATCGACGTGCAACCGTATGCGCGACCGTACTTTCGATTTGGGAACGGTCGATGGGGGCAGGCACTTTACAGAGTGGTTCTTTCCAGCAAGGTTTCAGGTCATCTTCGATCGTTTGGACTATATGTTTTGCCAAATCCACCTGAGTTTGACACCAACAAGGGCACCCTGGTTCCAATACTTTTGGGCATGGACCATTTGGCCGGAGCCGAATCCGCGATGGTGATCGACTTCATGACGGGATTGGCCCTGAATGCACATGAAGAACACCCCGAAGCATATCAGTTGAAGACCAACAACAAGGGACACTATATCCTGGACATCTCCTACTACCTTACGATGGGCAATGTTGGGTCTGGTCACGCTTCAATTCATGTGCACAAGGGGTCCAATCAACAGACGGCATTTGCACTTCAACCTCTTCTTTTTCATCCTTTGGAGTACTATGATATGGTAGCTTCAACACCATTCATGTTCATGACAGTCAGTGAAGATGTACATGATCGTTCGAAAGCACTTTTGCAAAGAGTTCATGCAGCAGGTGCGACTCACCGGCAAAATCTGGCTCAGTCTTCGATGCCGCGTGTCCACTTCGTTGACACCAGCCCCAATTCGAACTCGCACTCCCTCGGCGTGAATGGCTCCCAAGACTTTGACTCCAGCCGATGTGGAGGCGATGGTCAAGCAGGTGACCGACCGAAGAAGGCACCACCGGCGCCCTTCGACTCCTCGAGGGCGGTGTACGCAGATCCTCGAGACCCTCGCTGCCAGATCCATCAATGGCCGTGCTACAATCAGCGCCAGGCGGGCAAACCTCTGAGCAACCCTCATGGCCAATGGGTGGATTGCCAAGTGTGCCATCTTCGTCTGAAGTACGTGCCCCGGGAGGGCAAGCATGGCAACACGACCCGCAACGACAGTCCGGCAATGGTTCAGAAGATGCTCAACCAGCTGGAGCCACTGATGCGCGGCTACAAGCCAACCATCGACATCTGTCGGGCAATGTTCAAGAAGATCGAGGCGGAGGAGTCCCTCATGGTCACGATCAACCAGGCCATTCTGCGCCCAGAGGACAAGCATCAAGTGCTCGAGAACGACCACGGGTACAGTTCACCCTCAGCCAAGGCAAAGATGACACCTCCTGGCACTCAGAGTCCATCGCAGTCGACTCAGAGCTGGCACGTGATCACCGATCCCGAGAACCTGGCAGAGGCCTACCAGCAGGAGCATGTCGAACAGTGAGCAAGCACATGGCGGCCATAAGGTGATGCTCATGGCCGTCACTTTGACCACAGCCCTGACCAACACAGCCATGGACCTCATGCAAGATCAAAGAGATGGCTTGTGGGAGTTTGCTTGCGCTCCTGACAGCTGGCTCACCAAGGCGTCGGAACGCCAAGGACTGCACTGCAAAAGGGTCAATCTTCACCAAGGCTATGATCTCTATCAACCTGCCACTTGGGAGCGGCTGGCTCATGAGAGAAAGGTGAAACGTCCGAAGAGATTGTGGTTCTCACTCCCTTGCACCAAGTGGTGCCCCTGGACCCGTTTGAACTACCAAGGTCCAGAAAGACAAGAGCTGTTGGAAAGCTATCGTCGTCAAGAACGTCGCATGCTTGGCTACGCTGCACGCTTCATCAAGGACACCTTGGAGGAGGACCCCGAGACCTTCATCTACTGGGAATGGCCAAAAGAATGTCTTGGTTGGCATCAACGAGCACTCCAAGATCTACAGGCATATATGGAAGAACAGTGCATTCCCTGGCAGCAATGCCGCATAGATGGATGTCGCTATGACCTCAAGTCCATCGATGGCACTGGCTTCATTCACAAGAAGTGGCGAATCAACACCACGGACGAAGGCTTCTGGAGCCGCTTCAAGGCAAAAACGTGCTGCTCCATCCATCAGCATGTGAATATTACCGGACAGGAGACAAGCCGGTCAGCCTTCTACCCATGGAAAATGGTCGAAGCCATCAGCCGCTTCTGGAAGTCACAGATGGTGAATGCACAGCGATCTCGCTACATCATGGCCAAGGAGGATGTGAACTCCCTGGACTTCATCGATGAGAATGACATCATGGCTGCTGAGAATGCGGAAGATCCAGAGGAAGATCAGGCCATAGCAGCTCCGTCATCGGCATCTCAGTCCGAAGCCATGGCATTGCCTCCATCCAGACAAGAAGCAGAGAGATGGACTGCCCGCATTGCTCATTACCACAAGGCAGCTGGCCATCCAACTGTTCGCAACACAGTCCGACTTCTTCGAGATTCAGGCCAACCTCTCTGGAAGATTCGCATCGCTGAGAACTTCAAATGCCCAGCATGTGAGTCCCTGAAACCTGGCGGCTCAAGCTCTGGAGGAGTGCCACCAGCCGCAACCCATGAACTACCTCAAGCCTGGACCACCGTCGGCATAGATGTCTTCGACTGGACGGTGCCTGGACAAAAGAAGAAAGTGAAGGGACTGTTGATGCTGGACATGGCCACCAAACTTCGAGTGGTCGTCCCGGTGATGCCTCCCTTTGAGCTCCTCGTCATGAAGACTGAGACTGCGCAACAGGTCATCAAGGCCTTCTGCGAGGGATGGCTGACTCACTATCCCAAACCCTTGCAGCTCATTCCAGACAATGGCAGGGCATTTGGGTCCGAAGAGTTCACCAAGTT